TGTGTGTGTGTGTATATATATAGATAGTCTACAAGAGCTGCTGAAGTGTGGTACCTATCAGCAAACACATGATAATCTGGCTGTAGGAGCTTCAGAAGAGTGTCAAAAACTTTGACAGCATGAGCAGAGTTTCAGGTCAGGGTTTTAGGTGTTGTTTCCAAAGTAAATTTTCAAATTGACAAAACAGCCGTCACAAAATCGTAAAGCCTGAATGTCTTGATGTGATATTTTTTGGGCTTACTTGCACTGAACTGCTTGTGCTTGAATATGCCTTTCCACCCGATAACCATCTCATCAATACACACATTTTCATACATGCAGAAGGCAACCTGGAGCTTTTCCAACAACTTCACCACAAATGGCTCAATCTTTGCTTTGTCTTAAGCATCTGTTTCACAGACATGAAGCATGTCATGGTAGATGATCTCAAACACATCCATAGCAAACATTTGACGGTACCAGGATGTGTAGAAATATCCAGTAGTGCACCAGTAGTCTCTGATCTTGGGTTGACGGTCCAAACCCATAGCAATCAAAACTGCTGTAACCTTCAACCATTCATAATAAGTAACTAGCATTCTTGAAGCAAATTATTATCATTTTGTTGGTGGATTGTTATTCTCCAAAACCTTTGCTTCATAAGCATTGATGCTAGAAATCAAAGTGGCTTTCATCCAAATTCAGCTTCACGTGTCATTGTGGCTCGTGGAATGAAAAGTACACATCAATCTCTCATCTTCAACTACTTTCTATGCTACTTCATCTTCATCATTCTTACAATCTCATCCTAACACTGTCCTCTTCCTCTTGTTAGGTCTAGATCCAGACCCTGCTTTTCTTTTCCTCATAATAGCACCACTGGTCTTCCCCTTGCCTTTACCTGTACTCACACCTGAATGGCCTGCCACAGGACTCCCCCTCTCTCTCTCACTTTCACTAGATCTATCCAAGTCAGATTTCTCACTTTCATAATCATCATCCAAATCACTGGGAATAAAGACATTTTCCTGCCCCAATCGTTCCTCAAATAATTTCCTAGCCTGCTCAAAAGTAAAGTGATCAGATCTACCAGAAATAGTGGATGTGGTCATTTTCTTTTTTTTCAAAATATGGGTTCAAAACACTCATGTAAATTGCTAAAAACACGTCTTTCTTCCATCAAACTGGCACTCAGATTGAAGATATTTTGTTAATGGAGAAGTTCTAGTTTTATATTGAATATATATATAAGGCATTTAAAATGTGGGATTGATCATGAAACGGAACAAGACCTACAAGCCAGTATATCAGCAGCTCGTCCAAGTAGAAAAACAAGTGCACCGATACATCAGCTGCTGGGAGAGAGAGTTAAATACATCTAGTGGTTGACACTAGTTTTCAAAGCTTTTGGAAAATTTATATTAACTGAATACTAACTTCACCATTGAAATTCTAACTTTGTTTTATGCGAATTGCACATTGTGCAGTTAGCCTGATATCTAAATAACACAAAACTAAAATCTTTAAGTGATTTAATAAAAAGAAAAACATTACAAAAATCTTTAACTGTATCTTACAATTAATATGATCACGAATGAACTAATTTAGATGTGCACAGTAAAAACAAAGCACTATAAAAAATCATTATGCTGTCTTAAAATATTATATGCAGAATGATATGTCAACATACAAGTAAAACCAAGTTAACAAAACAGCTTTAAGCTCCTCTCAGTACGTCCTCTACAACTGTAAGTGCTGATTAAAAGTACAAATGCATAAGTAAAATATTTCTCAAAACATTTTATCAAACCAAAAATAATATTGACAAACAGCTGTAGTCTCTGTAACAGAAAATTAAACTTAGCAACCTTTTACTTTACATACATGAAGTTGATATTGTGAATACTAGTAAATAAATATATTAACTATTTAATATAGCAAGTTCATAAATGGGGTGCAACACTTTTTGAATTTGATACAAAACTCTTTAAACAAAATAATATGCTAATATGGAGTTGTCATACCATAAAGCAAATTGCTCAAATAATATTTGAAATCATTCATATACTTAAGTAATTTTCTTTTCTAAATATTACTATTTCTTAAAGACACCTCTGGCAGTTGAAAACCATCAGACTAATCCTACAAAAATTGGCAAAACATAATAGATCTCTATTTAAGTATGTTCAGGAATACACGTTTTCAAAATGCAGATGTTCTTTGCATTTGATTAACAGTCTTGTGAACAGAATGTAAGCAATGTTAAATTTAATAAATACTTGTCAGAAACTAAGAATACATACTACAGACTATTGCATGGAGATTATAGTTGCTTGGCCATGCTTCTGGGTCAATAGTCCTCACAAATAGAGTAGTAATAAAGAGGTATGTATACGTTACAAGTTAGTTTAGTATGGGCTAGAAGTTGATCTAGCCTTGAGCACAAAATATATGAATGATCACTGATATAGATAATCTAAGACTGTGGTATAACACACTATAATTTGTTCTGATTTATGCCTTTCATGACCAGCATAATATCAGTGATGTTCCCTATTCTCTTAATTTTCAAAATGAAAGTTATTTAAACAAATTACATGAAACTCTGTATAAACTTTAGTCTCTAGTTTATGTGTGAAAAAATTCATAACATTTATTTAGAACATTTATCCTATTTAAAGTAGTAAATCTTTAAAATTTATTCCATGAAACTGTTTTAAAAACAATAAAAAATACTTCCTTTCACATTACACCTTTCCATTTTTCTTTGTTTTATAACATAGTTGCATTTTATACATTCAGTCAGTTTTTATTTATCTTATGTTCATTAATATCATTTATTTGTTACCTTATCTTGCAGATGAAATCAGCTGACTTCCCACTACAAATCACACAAACACAGTATAACTAACAGAGATTTATTGCTGAACTATGACCACGCCTTTGAAAATGGTGTGTGTGTGTGTGTGTTACCTCTGTTAGGCATCATAATGTGATATTTTGCCAACAAATTTTGGTTGAGATTAATTTATATATAATAGTTACAGTTTTCAATACATACTAAGAAGTTCTTGTGTTTCTGTATTGTTCTTATACAATAAACTTAACAATATTCAATTAAAAAAGGATTAGGGCAATCCAAATACTTTGCAGCCACAGGTCTTAGCTTTCCATACTGTCTAAAATTAAGTATTCTTATGCGATGTTTTGTCCTATAGCTCTTTCAAATGAACATAATATAATACAAAATCATTATCAGGAATGAAAAGAACATCACCAGAAATTGTGAGAAAAAAAATTACAGGACTCTAATTATTTCAAAAGTAATGAAAACCTGGTTTTAGGGTTACTTCATTACCACTGACTGCACCCAGCTACAACACTGACAAATGCATAATTAATTTTCACACAGAAGTATTGCAATTTCAACTACAGAGTATTAAAGCTCAAAATCTCCCCTTTTTGTTGGCTATTAACTTCAGGCCATATACTTTTTTTAATGATGAGAACTAATCAAAGTTCTCAAGACCTACCAAGGCAACACTAGAAGTACAAGTTCAACAAGTAAATTCATAGATGAGCAAACAAAAGGCACATAAACATACAATAAATACAAATTACCAGTACTTGTGTAATATTTAAAATTATAATAAATAATTAAAAACAACATTTACTATTTACACAATTAAATTTAACTATACATAGCTTCAATAAAGTTTTAATTGTGTAAATAGTAAACATTTTTAATTATCTATTATAATCATACAATAAATGTCAAGGTAAATTAAAATGTTCAAATTTTTTGGAGAAAGTTAACATTTTCTTACACAGAAAATGTATTTCCAATAGGCATTTATTTCCTCTCACACAAAGCTATCTCGATCTACTTTCTGTTCTCTAAGCATTGCTGAAAAATTTTCATGCTCAGCACACCAGACTATATACCCCACCAATTTCATGCCACTAATGAACATAGCATAGAACTACTCTCCACCAATAGTATTGTGCCACCTATACTGGTGCAGCCAGCTCCCTTTGCTATTCCAACTCAATCCCCACTTTCAAGAATTGGCAGGCTCTAAAAGAAGAACATTAGCAGTGGGGAGGAAAGGTGGGAAATGTGTGAGAGTAGGTAAGTACCTATTTGAAATACATTTTCAGAGTAAGAAAATGTTGATTTCCAATACAGTCATACCTCCACTTAAACAAAGCTAGAATCTCCCATTGCAAAGATGAAGCACACACATGGGGTACTACACTACCTCTAGAACAGTTATGCTGTTGTTAAACAAATGTTTAAACAAATCTATTCAGTTATGCTCTTCGCCCCTTGAAGCAGGAAATGAATCCGATACGAGGAAAAAAGGATGTACACACGTGCAATTTGTTCGGAAAGGTGTAATCCATAGTAAAATATAAACTGAATGAACTACCTACATACCCAACCTCAACCAGACAGATGAGGCTCCATAACTCCTCCTCGGCATTAGAGGTTGAGGATCAATACAGATAAAAACAAACATAGTGTAACATAAACATAGTGGCTAGGGCATGTTGATGGTGTTACATATACTCACCAACTCCAAACGTAAGTAAACAGAGTGTCATTTGTCAAGCAAATGGAATTATGAAGAGGAAGTTAGAAGTTGATTGAAACTGGACAAACTCCCAAAACCACTGTAGGAGCAAGAAGTAGAACAAACTGGGCATTACTGGGTCGTAGCATTGCCTCAGCTCAACTGTAAGAACAGGGCAATATCCGTAACTGGTATTACGAGCAGAAATCATAACTTAATCAACAGTAGATACAGGGAAGAGAATTCCTGCATCCAGAATTACAAGAAGGACATGGAACATTAGCTCAATTGTAGGAACAGTGGATGTACATCCCATTGCTGGTAATATGAGGCAGATGAAGTCCCCCAAACTCAACCGTAGGGGCAGGGAAAGAACCTCCTGCAACCAGAATTAATGAAGAGAGCCAGTCAACCATGTAAAGATGAGCGCGCACACCCATCAAGTGAAGATGTCAGGCAAGAGTTTGTACTGCCCAATAAAACACTTAGAGATAAGATTAGTCCAACGGTAGGTCGCAGAACTGGAATATTCAACTTCAAAGAAAAAATAACTATCAATAATGTGGGCATGAACCCCGATTTATAGATTACGAGGAGAAAATTTAGTAGGAAAAGCAGCTGAAGCAAAGCTCAGCCCTACAAACAGAAAAGAAACAAACGCATGAGCGATGTAACAAAGCAAAAAAAAATTTAAGTTATACACTGAAGAAAAGCAGGATTATAAAGCACATAGTTAACAGTGACAAAAAAAAATTATCCAAATAGAACAATGAATTAGATGTTACTAGTAGTAATTATGTGAAATGCACAAAAACTATCTAAACATACCTAGTTAACAAAGTAATTAATAATAATGAATGTGTAAACCAATGAAAAATTAATGAGAAAAAAAGTAATAATCAATATGTAACTTACAATTCATCTCAATTAACTTAGATGACAAAGGACACAAAAGTAAGGCCAACACTGACAATAATTAGGATTATAAGGCACATATTTAACAATGGCAAAAAAACAAACAAAAAACATTAGTCCAATAGAACAATGAATGAGATGTGACTAATAGTAATGATAGGTAACCTACAAACTATCTAATCATACCTAGTTAAAGTACTTATTAAAATCAAATTGATAAACCCTCGAAATTTACTGAGTCTACAAGGTACGTAATATTAACAAACGTTCAAAATGACTAAAATCACCTAGTAAAACAAAGTAATAAATAATATCTAACTTACAATTCATCTAAATTAACTTAGATGACAAAGGACACATCTAGTCTGAGCACTGATGACGTGAAATACTTAAATCTCCCATGTGTAAAGAAGGACAAAACCACACAAAGGGCATCTGAGGAATTTCCATAGCCGATACATTGAATTGCGAATTCATACTAAAATCTTTTATAAATCGGCAACAAAAAAAACACAAAAACTGTTGAAACTAGTTAATGGAAACACAGTAAATAAAACTATTGAAAAAAAAATTGAAATGGCAAAGAAGAACAATCATAAACGGAAGCCACACGCAAAAAAACATATGTCTAAACAATGCTGTGCCAATCAAGAAAGTTAGAATTGAGCGGAAATAGCAGAGGGAGCTAGCTGCACCAGAATGGGTAGTGCAATATTATCAGTGAAGAGTACTCACATTCTACATACCTGTTCAATAGTGGCACAAAATTAGTGGGGTATATATATAGACTGGTGAGCCGAGTGTGAAAACATTTTCAGCAATGCTTAGAAAGTAAAAAGAATATTGAGATAGCTTTGTGTGAGAGGAGGTAAAACCGTATCAGAAAATAAATATAAGCTTAGGAGCCAGCAAACTAAATGATTGTAGTTCAGACACCTAGAGATGACAAATATGAAAGTTTAAACATTCTTTGAATTTTCCTTCATGAAATAAATAAGCATTATATAATGTTAAAATACAAATTCTACAAAACTTAAGTAAAAATTGTTGAAATAGCATTACAATTTTTAATTACACTTTGTAAGTTGATTTCTGATTGTGCACTTGGCGTGATCTGGACACCTATTTGACCAGAAAGAGTTAATCAACAGTGTAGTTACAGGCACAATCATTTCTGTTTTCACTGAGTGAAAAAGCTTTGTGCCTTTCTATAATAGCCATAGAAGTTACACTAGAGCTTAGAAGTTACAAAGTGTTATGGTATAGCTTTAACACATTTTGTCTATTGTTTTACACAAGTGTTTGAATCTTTATTTTGCAATCCATGATCATTTTATTTTGTCACAAATCTTTTCAATCCTGCCATTATTGTAATACTTACTACTTACCTGTTGGTCTCAGTTTTACTCCACACATTACTATGAAAGGCGAAATTTACATTAATACAAAAAAGTTATTTTTAAGTGGCACTTTGCAATGCAAATCTGAATAAATTACACTATATGTTACTTGTATTTCTAAAATTTCTAGAAGCTGTACTTTATCTGTTGCACTATTGGATGTTTGTTTTTCAGAACAATATCCATCTGTTTCTCAACTCATCATAGGTCTATTTATATTATATTGTACGTATACATCTAAAGGAAGCTACTATATTATGCTTACAAATATAATACATACAATTAGAAATATTTGACTTTTACCTCTTTAAGAAATCAGTGTACTCTGCTTGTCGCACCAGTCCTGTTCTCATCATTATTGTTTGGAAACATTGTCGTTCAATGGCCCACAGTTTACAGTCCATTATGGCTAAAAGAACAAAATATACATTTAGGTCAACTTCTTATCACCCACTTTAAATATAGTAGTAGCATTAGCAATTCTCCATTTATCAAGCACTTGACCACTGTCTACTTACCTACCAAAATTGAGAGAGAGAGCCCAGCATATACGATCTTTGGCCTTCTTCAAAACTCAACAAAAAGCATTGTCTGGTCCTGGTACCTTAATTTATCTACTTTCAATCTCTAAGTCTTTCTTTTTGCCACCAAGGAATTAGTAACTACATGATTTAGGTGAAATGCATTATTTCTCATAACACACTTAGGGTCAATAGTATTGCTAACACCTCTCTTGTAAAAAACAGAAAAGAGCATTAAAAATCTCACCCATTTCACAGTCTTTAACGAAAATCTTGTCATCAGCATCCTTTCCAATTCCCATTTTAACATTTTGCTTATTTTTAACAAATCTAAAAAATTCTTGCATTTAATTTTAACACTATCAGCCAGCTCTTACTAATAAGTCCTTTCAGGTTTCCTAAATTATATTTTTCACAAATCCCTTGCTTTTCTATAGTTGTGTAAATCTTTCTTATCTGTAAATTTAAATATCTTAAATTTATAGCATTTATTCTTGATTTTCTCTTTTATATGTTTAGAAAATCAATTAGGTTTGGTCTTCCTATGTTCTTTTTAGAAACTTACTTACTTTCAATCAAAGGAAATTACTGTATTTTTCAGTGAATAAGATGCACTTTTTTACCCCAAAATTTGATGTCAAAATCTGCTTGCGTTTTATACACCAAAGGTACGAATATTATATATATATACAATATACACAAGCCATGTGTAAATATATTTAAATAGGCATGCATAGTTTAGTTCAATTGAATGTGTTATTTATAACAATAGTAGTTTGTTTTTCTTTTAAAAAAACTATTTTAACTATTTATAATGCTCCCTAAATAATATAAAAATAAATTACAGTGAAAGCAATGAAGATTTGTAGGTTTGACCCAAACTAAATAACAGTAAACCTTTTTTGGTTTACGGTATTTCTTATTTTGATGTTTTGAGCTCTTTTGTGTTTAGAACA